CTCAATATTTTTCTGTGTATAATTACAATATATATGCATTTGAATTCATGTTATATATAGTTTTACTTTAATCCATATTTGAGTTGTTTGGCTCTGTTTGTAAGGAAGCTATCCTGGTAGGTTCAATTGCTTTTGCTGTTACAAATGGATTCTCAGAATTTATGTGATATTTAATTCCTTTCCTTAGCCCCACAAATGCCACTATGGAGCCTGCCCACCTTGCAAGCTGACCTGCGGGGAAGAACTTTCTTGTGGCCACACGTGTAAAGAAAGGTTTGTATTTGAACTAATAGAAATGTGTAATTAAATCTTGTTTGCACTTGGCTGTCTATCAAGGACTACCACCTCTGTTATCTTAACAATCTTCATACACCATCCAGGTGTCATGGCCCTATTTCTCCTCCAAACCCCGAGTTCACACTGAAACCGACAAAAAAGAAAATGGGAAAGCACATAGAATGTACACCCGGGACACCATGCCCACCATGCAAAGAGGTGGTTTTGGTGCCATGCTTTGGGCAGCATCTTGGCCAAGAACGCGCTGTAAGTTTTTGGGAACAACACAATCTTTTGGTCTATTTGTTACGACGTGGCTTCTCTCTCCCATGTGTGGCATGTGCAAAAATCTGACTACAGAAAACATATACTTCATTTCCACTTCTTGCAGATGCCTTGTTGCAAATGGAGGCCTTTTCCCTGTGAAAATTTATGTGGGAATCCTCTCCTCTGTGGCAACCATTATTGTACAAAATCTTGCCATGTGTTAGAAGTCCCATTGAATCAACCTGAAGGAGATTGTATAGCATCTATCAGTAAAGCGAACGCACTTGCTGAGCCTTGTGAACAATGCAATCTTCCTTGTCAAAGGGTTAGATACTCTCTTTTCCTTTCCTAGAACTTTAGTTTAGTTTGTTTTACAAAGCTTAATATGAAGAAGCTACTGCGGTTTCGTATAATTTTAAGCTTGGTGCAGGATATTGACTAATATTTATTTCAGGTTAGGGAGCCTCCTTGTTCACATCGTTGCCCTTTGCCATGCCATCTGAGTGATTGTCCATCTTGTAAAGTCCTTGTTAAAAGACCTTGCCATTGTGGTGCTATGGTGCATGCTTTTGAGTGTGTGTATTTTAACTACTTAAATGCAAAGGAACAGATTAAAGTCAGGACGTGTGGTGGCCCATGTCATAGGTCAGTTTGGCTCCTAACTGTTTTGTATTGAAATTGGTGCAACTTCTCTGTTGTTACTAAATTTGATCACAAATTTCCATTTAATTGATTTTATCAAGCATTTGAACATGTTTTTTGTACAGAAAACTACCAAATTGCCCCCATCTGTGCTCAGAAGTTTGTCACCCTGGTATATGCCCATCGGTTGATCAGTGCATGAAAAAGGTATGGTCTGAGGCTATCCTCTCTGACATACATACTCAGGCATTTAGACTGTAGAATAAGTGAATAACTAGTAATGTTGAAGTGGTACACCAATGCTTGATCTGTGATGTTAACAAGCTTTCTGCTGTAACTGTAGTATAGTGAGAATATGTATTTTGCTTAATAGAAAGTTTGTTTACAATTTGAATTTGTGATTTAATTATATTCTGTTAATCATACTTATTTATACTATACTAACTGTATGCTTTATCTATCAAGGTCAACACTCGTTGTGCATGCAGCACTCTGAAACAAGAGTGGCTATGTCAAGATGTCCTCAAGGAATACCGCAAGTCTGGTCATGATCCAAAAGAAGTACCTAAAAGTCAGTTTGGAGTTGGCTTACTTGCCTGCGGTGAAGACTGCAAGAAGAAGCTGAAGGCTCTAGACTCAGAGTTGCATCTCCGGAAAAGTCAGGAGAACAAGGTACTGAGTCTTACCATTTTTTAATATTAATACAAAAATTAATATGCTCTGTTATTCTTTGGAAATGTTTTGGACATCCAAGCTTTTGGTGCATCTGTGCTCATTTCCCGTGCTTTCAAATAATCAGAGCCCTGCTGTGGAAGTCGTAAATGTGCCCAAACGCAGGAAGCGGCGTGACCGTGGACAGGAAGTTAAAATCTCCAAATTCCAGGTTTGTGATGTACACAAATTGCTGCTTTCTTTGAAACTCACGGTCCTTATAATGTATCTATATTTTGCAGGAAGTCAAGACTTACGCGCTGAGAGTGCTACTGATTATTTTGCTGTCAATAATCGTTGCTGCTGGTCTGTACCTGCTGTGGAAAGGTATATTCTGGCTTTCTGACTGGATGAACGAAATGGAAGAGCAGAGGGCGAGACAAAGGCATCCGAGGGGTGCAATGTTGTAAAAAAAAAGAGATAAAAGAGTTATTTTGAGCCTAATAATCGGTATTGACATGTGGATTAATTAATAGTTATTAGGGATTCAGTTCTGGAGGATCTAGTGAAACATGTCACCATTTTCTCTCACTTTTGTCACTATAAATTAGCAATTGTATGCATAATGTATGGTTGTATTTTCATTTTGCTATTCTGCATTGTTGTAAGTGAATAAAACGATACAATCATCACTTATTATCTGTTAAAAATGTAGTTTTTAGTACATCCACTCAGCGCATCCGTTAGAACGATGTAGTAGTAGTAACCTGGCAACTTCCTTTCTTCGGTCTAAAACAGATATCGTTTGAGCTTATCAATTCATAGCTGTACTATTTTTTTCCCTATCTATTCTAAGCAACGCCACTTGGCCCGTGAAGCTCTGTGACAGCTCGGATAAATGATAAAGCAAGTAGAAGACCCAAACCGATCCACATCGGACGGATCAGATCTTGTGTTCACCTGGGCCTTAATTTCACCGATCCATCACATCAATTTTTAGCGGATTAAATCTTTAGTTGTTCACCTGATAATCTTTGGCTGTTGCTAAATTGAACAATATTTATTAAATAAGTGGCAGTAGTACTATTTATCATTAAAAAAGTTGCCTGCTTTTGGTTGCAGGATTCATATATTTATTAACCTATATATAATATATAGAGATAGTTGTATTCACCAAAATTGTCCTATCTAGAACAGGAGGCAACACGAAATTTCCTTTAGAATGGATTATGAGGCATTTATGAAATTACCAATTTTCTTTCTAAACTATAATCTAGTTTAAATTTATTCTAAGTTGTTTTTTCCTAACTTTGACCAAATTATATAAAATACACCAACATAAATTTTGTTTCACTAAATTCTTCGATAGTGTATTTATTTAAACCGATATATGTCAATAGTTTTTTTTTCCTAAAAATTGATTGGAATTACATAAGTTTGATTTAAAATAAATCCAAAATATACTATAATTTGGAACAGAGGGAGTACGTATCACTTAATAATTTATTTGTTAGCTATAAAATCCAATTATTTTAGGGCAGGTTCAAGAAGTGCAAGGATGAGAGAGGAGACCAAGGCGCAATATATTGGACAACATGTGCTAATTTATAAACTCTTTGCGAGATCCTACCCATAAAGAATTACTCTCTCCATCCTGTAATATAGTACATTCTAGTATTCAAAACTTGTCCTCAATATAATGCATTCTTAAAAAAAATTGTATTAAATAGTTTTCATTTATAAATCAATCACCATTAATCACGTTGATGATAACATCTGATTAAGAAATAAAATGAGGGTACATGCGTCTTTTATGTTATCTCTTAATTTATCTTAAAATTTCTAGAATGCACTATATCACAGGACAGAGTGAGTAGGTGGGTTTTTATTAATTAAGAAGAGAAATAGACACATAAATTTAAACTGAGAGAACTTAAAGCTGGGTGGTGGGTGCAGGATCACACCTCTCATCCAACCAATTGAGCTAGGCTCACTTTCTAAATCTTTTTTCACCTTTTGCTTTTCTTTGCACCTGGTGCCATAAAAAATAAATAATATTTAACCCCCACTCGTTCTTTTTACATTTGCTATCCATTTTAGAGAAAAGGTGATAGACTATATGTTTTACTGCATGCAGAGCTCACCTAAGCATAGATTAATATGTAGACCTTAGTGTATTTAAGTAATATAGCGCATATTGTGACTTGGCTAGCCTTGCATAATTATAAATTGGAGGTGTCTAGGTTTGGCTCAGTTTGGTACAACTTTTTTAACTCGTTGGACATTGCTCGTCCATACCCACACATGACACGATAGTCTTACTTGTGCCTATACTAATAGGGCCTATTTGTTCGCAGCCTCCTAGGCAGGGGCGGATCCAGGATGGGGACATGGGGGAGCTAAATAATGAAGATGTTGATTTACAATGAAGATTTAATGTTGATTTGAAGCTACTGCTACAGTGATTTAGTGCTGAAATCAAGGTACGAGGGGGCTGCAGCCCGTGCATCCGCCACTGCTCCTAGGCAGCTGCCTACCAGGCATGCGATCATGAACCCTCGCGACCAAAATCAAACGTCACCCAAGAGAGAACCAAATAGGCCCACGGTGCGTACCTAGATTGTCCATACCTCATTACCATTATCAACAATTAACAAAGGAGCAAACAGACAATATAAGCAAATAAACATATCACATAAAGTCTTAAGAGTAACATGTAGCAATGTACTTCATCCATAATAAAACACTACCCAATAACAATTCAAGCCAAACAAACATATCAAGATCACCGCACCACATATAGCAGCAGCAGAATCACAACAAAATAGGCTAGACACAAGCAACAACATAAATAACACGGGCTAGATGATGATGATGATTTCTTTACATAGTTTGAACCGGATAGAAAATACCTATGGGTTTCTGGTCTGGGTGCAGTACAACCATACCCGACGGGTATAAAATCCGTATGTTTAGAATTGGGACGAATTTGATTACAATTTCGGATACCGGTTGCCATGTTTGTGTACCGGCCCATCCCATTCCGATCTGACCGCCTCGCCTCGCCCATTTCCACGGTTCTTCTTCCGCGAACCGCCACCGCCAGCTCGCCGGAGATCACGAGAGGAGCCAGGACCAGCCCGCGCTCCTCAACGCCGCCCTCCATGGGGGACGCCGCCTCCGGCCGTGGCCACGTCGTCTACCCTCCCCTCACTCACGGTCAGTGATTCGACTTCTCTCCCTCTCTTCCCCCTCCGCTACCCCGAACCCTAACCCACTTGGAAGCTCGAACCCAACCTCACCCGATTGCTCCCTCGTTTCGTTCGCAGATGTCGAGGACTTCTACGCGCAGTGCGATCCAGGAGAGTTGCGCTTCGGCGTCGCCCCTCTCGATCCCTTCCTTCTTCCAGGCGAACCGCCGTGCGATTGATTTGTGTTGGGGGCTGTGTGTGTGGGGCTTGAGCAGACAAGGAGAACCTGTGCCTGTACGGCTACGCGAACGAGGCGTGGGAGGTGGCGCTGCCGGCGGAGGAGGTGCCCACGGAGCTGCCGGAGCCCGCGCTGGGGATCAACTTCGCGCGCGACGGGATGAACCGCCGCGACTGGCTTGCGCTCGTCGCCGTCCACTCCGACTCCTGGCTCCTCTCCGTCGCCTTTTACTATGCCGCTCGGCTCAATCGTAATGACCGGTACGCTGCCTCCGACCGATCCCCGCTGCTTTACTTCTCTCGTCACGGTGTGTCTGTTTGGATTTGATGCTTCCTGTGTTGCGCTTGCTTGATCCGTTGACGGAAATTTCAGAAGCGCAGCGTGTTCTTTTTTTTCCCTTACAAAAAGGAATAACTGAATTAACTGAATTCATAAATTCACGACGGATGAAATGGGATTTTGGAGTAAGTGGACAGTTTGTGCATCTCATAGAGCAATAGTTTTGGTCGCAAGGATTTGTGATGCCTGGTTGCCAGTAATTATACTAGGATGCATAATTTTGATTGATGTTTCCTAACTCATGAGGATTTTGACCCGTGCACTCAAGTGGAGAAGGTGAAGCTTATTGGCTCTCTCAGCAGTAGTTTGATGCAAAGGGCACTGCTGTTTTTGTTTTGAGCTCTTATGTTTTCCAGTGATAGTTTACCCGTGGTTCTAAGGGGGTGTTTGGATCCGGTGACTAAAATTCAGGAGGCGTCACGTGAGGATGTCGCATGGGGTGTTCGGATACGGGTTCTAAGGGGGTGTTTGGATCCGGTGACTAAAATTTAGGAGGTGTCACGTGAGGATGTCGCATGAGTGTTCGGATACTAATAAAAAAATAAATTACAGAATCCGTGAGTACTTCACTAGACAAATTTATTAAGCCTAATTAATCCGTCATTAGCACATGTTTACTGTAGCACCACATTGTCAAATCATGGACTAATTAGGCTTAAAAGATTCGTCTCGCAAATTAGTCGCAAACTGTGCAATTAGTTTCATAATTAGTCTATATTTAACACTCCATGCATGTGTCCCAACATCCGATGGGACAGCGACTAAAGTTTAGGAGGAGGAACCAAACAGCCCCTAAGTCTTGGGTAGCTGGGGAGCTTGCTTTCTAAAGAAACACACAGCTACAGAGACTTGCACAGGCTCATAAAGCAGACTTTTGATAAGTTTGGTTGTTTACCATTAGTTGCTGAACGGTTATGAGCTCAGGAAGTGATGACATCATGAGAAGGTAGGTAGTTTCACGGCTCTCTGTGTCTCTGTGATGATATTGAGTTGACCGAGTTCTGAATTCTGGTAGCCACATGCTTGTGCTGAAATCTTCTTACCTGTGTCAATTAACATCTTCACACATTAGTCATCTCAGTATTTCTACGGTCTCTCTGTAAACAGTGGTCCCAAACTCCATGTGTGGACTTGGGCTAGTCTCTCTGTAAACAGCGGTGTCCAGCATGAGCGTTGGTGGCGGTGTGCAGTGCAAGCGTTGGCAGAGGCAACAACAACAACACACTCCTGTTGTTAGTCTTCCCCATCTCGGCTATTTATCTTCCCTAACCCGGAGTGGCAGGGGTGGCAGCACGAGCGCGAGCGGGGGCAACTACTTGGTGATTGTGGTAGGCAACGTCGGGTGAGGCCTGGCCGTTTGTGCTCTTTTTTTGGCTACTAGTTGGTGGCCTCGATTTGCTGTGTATTTGGTCTCAATTTGGTTTGTATATGTAAGGAAAATGGACCGTAGTTCTATTTACTTTGGATTTTGGTGTTTGATGACCAATACAACCAAATTTGAACTAAAGAATTTGCAAGTGTTTGTTTTGTAATTCAATAGGGTGCAAGACATAACTTGAACGAAGGCGACGTGATGATCCGATGGTCAACACCTTAAGCAAGACCTTAGAAGCATAAGAGAACATCCAAAATATTGAGCAAAGTTCAAGCACGAAGATAGGAACCAAGCCGGACGCAAGATCACAAAGAAACGAGAGCACAGAGATGACCGGACGCTGGACTGGACGCTGGTAGTACAGTGACCGGACGCTCCAATCAAAAGGCTCGGCAGAAGCAGCGACCGGACGCTAAACAGCAAAATCGACTGGACGCAGGACAACAGTGTCCGATCGAGTACAGAAAGGTTCCAGAGCGGCGAAATTGCGACTGGACGCGTCCAGTGGCATGTGATCGGAAGCTGACAGCGTCCGATCAGTTGATCACGGCTCTAACAGTCGGGACGACCGGATGCGTCCGATCAGGACGACCTGAGCGTCCGGTCAGTAGCAGAAAAGCGAGATTTCGTCCCCAACGGCTACTTTCTCAGTGGGGCTTATAAATAGACCCCTCAATCGGCCATTTGAGGGGTGTGGAGCAGAGGAAACATACCAAGGGTGTTGATACACCATTTTAGTGATCTCCACTTGCATAGTGCTTAGTGATTCATTAGGTGATTAGCATAGGTGCTTTACGAAGTGCTTAGGTTGATTAGACCACCGCTTATGCGCTTGCTCTAGGTTTAGGCCTAGTGTTTAGTGAGGTCTGCATACCTCTTACCGCTCGGTGCTTGCGCGCACCATTGTTGTACATCGGAGGGGCTTGTAGTCTTGCGAGATCACACCACCGCGGTTGTGGTGTGGCCGCCACCGTGTACCGGAGGGACCAAGGCCCGCGGCGTTTCGGCCGGAAGCTTGATAGTGAAGACGACGGGGAGCATCCGGGAGAGGCTTGCCGAAAGGCACGTCGGAGACCCATTTGCGCGTGGCGAAGGCCCGAGGCTATCCACGGAGTTACCCGACCGGGAGATTGGCCCTTGCGAGAGATTCCTTGTGAGGGGTTTCAATGAGGACTAGGGGGAAGGTTGCGTGTTTTTTGATACCTCGGTAAAAATACTGGAGTCGTCGATGGAAGTTTGCATATCTCTTCCTTGTTCTTTAGCTTCCGCATTTACATTGATTGTATTACTCCTTTTACGGTATAGATAGCAACACACTAGCAAAATCGTAGTTGCACATTTAAATAGTTTATCTTTTGCATAGGTTTTGATAAGGTTAGAAAAAGAGGCCATAGTTTAGAGTTAGATTTTTAAGTTGCCTAATTCAACCCTCCTTTTTAGGCGTCACGGTCCCTACAGTATACATATCTGGTCCCTACAGTATACATATCTGATGGTCTTGATTTGGTATTGTACTCTATTTGGTCTCGATCTGAATCGTGATGGCTTTGATTGGTTCTCTACTCTTGTGCCTCGGTCTATTTGGTTCTCTGTCTAGTCCACGACGAGGGGACTCCGATGTTTCGGAAAATCGCATGATCCATATTTGTATTCTATTCGATTTGTCCTATTAGATTTTGTAAGAGAGTTCATCACATCGGAGGTGGGGCTTTTGGGTATAATCACGATTGGGGGAGGCTAGACAAAATTTCACTCCGAACGAAATTTGAGGCTGAAATTATTTATTATTAGGGATAAATTATAAATATACGCCATGTTTGTTTGGCTTATAAACCATATTTTTCAGCCAACGAACGATATTTTTTTCTCACAACAAATCAGCAGCAATATTTTCAGCTATGGCTTATCAGCTAAGCGAACAGGGCAATAGATATAGATAAATTTTATTTGTAACCAAAATTACATCACCAATTAGTAATTAAAATATTTATTTATCAGAGAGGGTTAAGGATTTAATGACTCGCAACAGCAGTATAATTATCATTTATTTTTTCTGTTTGTGTAAGAAGATAAAGGAGATTAGAAAGGACAAAAAAAAATGTCACGGAACCAAAACCTATCGAAAGAGTAAACGGAGACAAAAAAAAATGAGAAAGCACACAGACGGGAAGCACTAAAGAAAAAGGAAGAAAGATTCGACGTAGAAAGGAAACAGATGTGGTAACGGTGATCATTGTATTAGGATTCGGATTCCTATTTAAGTTAGTTATAGATCATACGGATCTCTGCATATATCATATAGACTATAGGAGAGCTGACGGCTTATGAGTCCAGGTCACATATGCGATCCAATACGTTTTGCATTCGGACTTTGTATCGCGTTAGACAGGAGCTATTCTAACTCGTATGATATAAGTTGGCCTTTTTATATCCTGAGGGTGTAGGGGTGTGCATTTTGTTAGGTGGTTTTAGTCATTGCTCTGAAGTTGTAGCGCGGTTTTTGGACTTAGTTTTTACTAAGAAAAATTCAGTCAACATTCATCTTTGTTTTTTCTTCTTCTAATCTAACTAATATCTATATCTATACCTAATAATAAAGAGGCAAAATTTTACTCCATCTATTTTTTTTCGTCTATTGTTTTTTAGTCCATCTCCCTCTAACTACCGAACAATGGTCAATGGAGAGCTTCTTCCATTCGGACTTATATATATATATATATATATATATATATATATATATATATATATATATATATATATATATATATATGGAGAGTATATTCAGTAGCCAGCTACAAAATTAGTTATTCTGTAGCCACATATATATATATATATACACTACCATGTAGCTGGCTATAAAATAACTTATTCTGTAACTACTTTGAGTTACGATAATTACTATATTAATTTACGATATTATAGTAACTCCTTAATAAGTGGTTTACTATAACGTTATGGTAAATATCCCCATGTGTTATAGTAATCCAACTATCGTAAATATGTATTGATATTATCGTAAATTAGTATATAAAATTATCGTAAATGGAGGTGGCTACAGAATAACTAATTTTGTAGCTGGCTACTGAATATACTCTCCCTATATATATATAAGTCCGGATGGAAGAAACTTTCCATTGTCCATTGTTCGGTAGTTAGAGGGAGATGGACTAAAAAACAATGGACGAAAAAAAATAGATGGAGTGAAATTTTGCCTCTTTATTATTAGGTATAGATATAGATATTAGTTAGATTAGAAGAAGAAAAAACAAAGATGAGTGTTGACTGAGTTTTTCTTAGTAAAAACTAAGTCCGAAAACCGCGCTACAACTTCAGAGCAATGACTAAAACCACCTAACAAAATGCACACCCCTACACCCTCAGGATATAAAAAGGCCAACTTGATCTAAACTCTAAACACGAAACAATCAAAAACTTAACTACCAACATGCACGAACAACAAATGTCGCTGGTAACCAAATCATGTTTTCCCCCTTGTGAAGACTTAATTGGAATCAGTGTAGTAGACGGTAGTCGTTAACATGGACGGATTAGATGAAAACTCAGGGAGCTAAAAGTTCATCTTCAATCTCCAGCCTCGCTTTCTCCAAAAAAAAAGCATGACACAAAATCTTGAAGGGGATCTAGGGGCCTTTATAGGATCAGTGGCGGTAGGGGGCTCCCCCTGCGGCCCTGCCCCCCGCTAGATTCGTCCCTGATCGTTAAATGTACCAACGATGCTTAGTCAGCTAGCTACATCTTGAACATACATGCATGTCAACCGCGCTAAGGGTTAACGTGAATAAGGCTACCCTTTATTTCCTCCCTAATCATCCACGCAAGTATCGTCGTTGCTTAACAGATATGTGCACCGGTCAAATTTCGTTATTTCCATCGTTCACGATCAAAATGCATACTTGGATTGGCTTAACAAAGGAAAGTTTCTTCTTTTTCTTGGCCGTACCATGAGGTATGTTTTTCTTTAAGAGAAAGTAGAGTTTGACAAGATACAAGGACTCACAAGTAATCATAAGATTACCACAGCAAACTCAAAGACACACTGAGCAAAGAGGAAGTGGAACTCTCTGAACCTTAGACTTAGCTGCCAGTTGCTACACATGCATATCGCCGGCTCTCATTTTTTGGCCGAGGTAAACCTTACCGGCTTTTATAGAAAGCATATAGAGTTTGAACTTTTCAAGTGCGTCCGTCTTGACAGAACTTTGCTCTAATAGTATTGAGTTGTTGATGATTGCCCGGCTGCCCGCATAATCGCCGGCCCTCCATGCAGTGGCGCGAAGCATCAGTGCAACTCTGCAGGCTATCCTGCTGGCCCCTAAACCGCAGGCTACTAGTAGATTCTCCTGTCCTGTAACACCACCGTTTCCGCGCTACAAATTTCGTCATCTCGAATCAGATACCACGCTGAAAGCTGTGGAGCAAAAAGAACAGGCTCAGCTCCCCGCTTTCCCCCGCCGCAACCGCAACCGCTTTATGCCGTCTCGCCTGCTCGATAACGATCCTCTCCTCTGGACACCTCGCATGCATGCCGTCCACGGCGGCAAAAGTCAAGCGGCTCTACATTATTCCCTCTGCACTTCGTTATTATCAGCAATCTTAAAATTCCATCGCACATCATCTTGTGCTTGTTCATCAGCTCTAGCCTACCTTCTGGTTCTTCTTTCTGTAGTGCAGCCATATATATATACAGCCGTGTGCTGAGCTTTCGTGCAGCGATCGAGTTTCAGTTTCAGGTAGACGTAGACTGCAGGCAGGCAATCAATGGGGGCGTCGACGTCGACGTCGCGGCAGGAGACGCCGCCGTCCGACTCGTCGCGCGCCGGAGACGGCCGGGCCGTGGCGGTGGTGGCCAGCAGCGCTGCCTCTGGTACTGGTAGCAACAGCAACCAGGCCCAGTCGAAGAGGGCGCCGCTTCCTCACAAGTTCCATGAGAGAGTTGCGCAGGAGGCGACGGGCGGCACTGCTGCAGCTGCCGCCGAACTGGAGGATCAGGTGTACAGCACAGGGGTCTACCTGGCTGGCAAAACGAAGGTAAGTTTCAGGCACGAACACGTATACACCTGAACCTTTGATGCTTACTACAGTACTGTAGTAGGAGTAGCTCGATCGATGCCAGAAGCTAGATCGTCACTGATGCAGTGCTCCGATTGATGCAGAAGTACTGGGTGCACGAGAAAACCAGGTGCAACTGCTTCATGCTGTTCGCTAGAGCACTGTCCATCACTTGGAGCGATGATCCCAGATACTGGATCTGGCATCCCGTCAAAGAAACAAAGTACGTAGTGCTTCAGCAATTAAACATGCATGCTCAATTCAAGTCTTATTTGTACAGTGGCTGACTTTCAGGCTGTTCAGCTGATGATTTTTGCGGCTAATAAGCAGGCTGATGTGGCTTTGTCGTGAGAGAAAAATATTGTGTCATGGTTGATGCTGTTTTGCTCTGTTCCGGTGATTTCTGAACCTGCTGCTGGCATATGAAAACCAAGGTTTTAAATAGCCGACTAAGCCATTTACCTTTCTATGTCCCAAAACAGGCTATAACCGGCTATATTATGCTATAGCGGTAGCTAAGAGCTAATTTGCACATAGAAAAACTTAGATAAATCCTTCTCAAACAGCTATAGCCAACAGCTATAGCCAAAGATAGCAGAGGCTGTATCCGGAGATTTAAAACCTCGATGAAAACCAACCGACCAACCAACCAGCGACTCTGAGGTCGAGGCTGCGTCGCTGCAGAACGTGTGCTGGCTGGAGGTGCACGGGAAGCTGGAGCTGTCGCACCTCACGCTGGGGGTCACCTACGACGTCGTCTTCCACCAGGTGATCTCACGGAGCCGGCGTACGGGTGGTCCGTGCCGGTGAACCTGCGGCTCAGGTTCCCCGACGGCACGGTCCAGGAGCGGAAGGAGAAGTTGCAGGAGAGGCCCACGAAGCAGTGGCTGGAGCTCAAAGGCGGGGGTGTCACAGCGGCGAGCTGGAGATCTCCCTGTTTGAGTACGATGGTGGGCTCTGGAAGAAGGGGCTCCTCATCAAGGGCGTCAAGATCGTCCCAAAGGAGTGATTGCGTACCATTTGTTTCGCTTTGCTTTTTATTACTTTCCTGTCGGCTGTCAGGGTGTGCCAACCGAACTTCTAAGATCAATGTGAGACGTGGAATAATGACGTGTGAGGCACTGCATATTTCAAGGCTTCGCTCAATCGCAAGAAATATAAAAAAAATCTTACAATTGAAATGGGCCTTGTTACCTCAACTGACATGCGTTGAAGTGGATTAGATTATATCTTAGTTTAATTTCCATTTTACACACCAGTACACGTAAATTAAGGTGTGCATCAAACAAGTCCTAATGTTTCAAAAAAAAGTCCTCCAATAATTCAATGTCCAAAAATTCCACTCAACATTCCATACCCTATGGCTTGTGCACTTTGGTGTGCATGCTGATCACCAACCAGTGGTGGGGCAAGAAATGCATTTTTTCTATTGTTAGAGGGGGGCAGCCAAACGTGCAAATTTTATCAAAATTTGGTTGTTTTCGATTTTTGAATGGAAATTGCATTAGATTAGTGGGGTTTTGCCCCAAGTCTCTCCTTGCCTGACGTGCCGCGCCATGTGGATGTGTCGTTCACCGGCTGAGGTTAAGTTTCTTATAGTGGAACCTGCCCACCCGGGTTTAAGTTCTCGACTTGGCACGGGTGCCTCGCATTTTTCTGTATTTATTCTAGGATTTAATGGGTCGTGCTTTCAATGGTAGACGGCGTTCTCGTCGACAACAAGACACCTGTGGTGACTTCGTCAATCTCAATATGTGCCGGCACAGTCTTTCGAAGGTGCTCATAGGGGTAGGGTTTGCGTACGTGTGTTCTTAGGGGTAAGTGTGCGTACGTGTTGAGCATCTGCTTGTGTCCCTAAAAATGCCTTCTCACCCCCGTCTCCTATTTTCTTCATTTGTTTCTAATTATAAATTGTTTTGATTTTTGTAGGTACCTTGTTTTAGATATGTACTGTAACACCCCTAGTGTTACGAACTTGTTTAGCACCATAATTTAGGCCTAAGAAAAATTTCCAAATCGAGTTCTATCGGGTTTTTAATTTAAACGTACTTGAGACGATAAGCAAATCCTGTGTGACTTAGTTTTGTGGACTCAAATAAACGCTCAAGTTAAATTAAGTAGTGCGTAGAAATATTTAGAAATATTCGATAATGATTCTAGCAAGTAAATGGTTAATGGCTTGTTCTGTTGGATTAAACATGAAAACAATTTTCATAACCAAAAATACGATTTGACTGGTATAGAGTTCTTAAGTAAAATTCGAAGTATGATTTTAGTTACAGTTAAAATATCGAGTAACAAACTTTAGTGCTTTAGCCGTGTTTAAAAATATAAATAGTTGGCGTGATGAATATTGAAGAGCTGAAATAATAACGATAGTGCTGCCGACCATAGCAACAGCATCGCACACGCTACGCATTAATCTCACTTACAAGCTCGGCCCGCTGAGCACGCCGCTCGTTCGCTGCTCTGCAAACGCAGAGATTCTTCTATGATCACTCTGTTTAATGCCGTGGTACGTGCGATCGTGCGATCCAAGGAAAGATGAGCTTTAGAAAGTTTATTAACGTTGCAATGCTGCAGTTTATAAGCTACGTATAGTATATAAACACTCTCTTGACTTCCATGACCTCTTGCAGCTCTTGTCCATCCTTGGTATGCACCTGCTAAGTAAGTCATGCCTTCCTGCTATAGTGTACTAGCTCAAGCACCAAAGTCTCCCATGGATTAATTAGTTGTCCCCTGTATACATGCATGCATTATATACCGTGCCGTACACGACGACAAAAGTCAAGTCTATGACGTGTTATTAGGAAAAGAATGTGATGCATGTGCAGCACGCCACACACACAAGCAAGCTGTGTGGGAGCTGGGGACTGTCAATGCAAGCAGTTAGTTGTTCAGCCTAGCTAGCTTCTCTCACTATCCGACGACGACGACTACTGTCAGGCAGTCACCATCTGCTGTAATAAGCCTGGTAAAACACGGTAGCTGTAGCTGAGAAACACTGTTCACCACAGGCAGCGACTGGGCAATGTCACATCTTTTTCTCCCTTCTCTCGTAGCCAGAGTCGGTCGTCATAAATGTGCTCGTACAACTTGTCACACACGACACGTCCATCGCCCAGATTGTTTGCCTCGCTGTTAACCATACTTGTAGATATATAATATAGTATTATAAAACTATTTCCTTCCTCCATACCCGAAGCAAGATTGTTTTTCACGGACTCTTGCATCTCGCTAAATCAAGCTTGCAAGCTTCTCTTCGTGGCCTATAAAATGCGAGCCCTCACAGTCCAGCAGCTGAGCCTCCGCTCTCCATAGCTCCAGCTCTCTTCTCACTCTCTTGACTTCCCTGTTCTGTCCGCAAGCTACATGCGGGCCGGAGTCGACATTACTCATCGGGCGAGGAGCCATGATGGGTCATGGGATCGATAGGAGTAGCTGAAAGATGATGCCATGGCGATCGTGTCACGGAGATGGAATGCTAACTTTTGGTTATATTTTACCAAGGCAAGCCCCGGTGCATAACCTCTACTTTTCTGTAGTTTAAATTATATTTGTGCATTAAGTTTAAGGAGTTGAATGAAACCCACTTGCATATATATCTTTATTCCTATGAGTCTTACTAGTATGACAGGATCGTGTAGAATGCCATGCTACAGGACTCCGGTAAAAGTCGAGTGATTGCCTGTCACTCGCGAGAGATAGGAAATATATTATTGGATTACTATCACTTGGAAAATATCAAAATGGTGGAAAGGAAAATGGTGACCGGGCAGGGATATGGTTTGGGTATTGGTGAGTGTAAGGAGTTGTGTCGCCGTGGACACGAGACATAGCTTGGTTACACTATTTTTTCCCTGTCTGGTCGGTTAAGGACCGATCATTGCATATGACTCTAGGCAGGTCACAGACTTATTATCCCGAGCACATACTTGTGTATGGGCGCTTGGAAGACTTGTTGCTCTCTTGTCGCGGATCCGGCTCTTTCCGGACCGACTGTTAGGGTTTGTTTTGGTGGAGGAGGTCCTTGCACCATGACCGAGTCCGGGACTCGTATGGGGGGCTGAGTCCCGCTTGGGCGGGGACCTGGACACCCGGACAGAGAGTGATGGGTTGGTCCTGCTTGTGCACGGGGTATAAGCGGGCGTGTGTTTCAGGGTACCAATTTGGGGCATTGATTCGTGAATCGCCGGGCTATCCGGTACGGCTTGTCTGCGGTTTAGCATCGTAGTAAGAACTAAAGATGAAAGATGAAAGATGAAAAAGGAAATTTTATTGCTTACCACCTGCTTGAAAATAGCACATGTGCTTACATAGAATGGTTAGTTAATGAACCAATGCGGCTATTAATAAAAATCAAATATAAGGACGCACACTTAGTAATGCTTCCTGCAAATGCAACCCACAAGCCAGATAGCCTTGCATATCCTTGGAGTCTTTTCTTTCCTCCTGTCGAGTAAGTCTTGCTGAGTACAATTGAGTACTCAGGGTTTTATTCCCCCTGTTGCAGGTGATAGGTTGATGCTAGAGCTGACCCTTGTGTGTGGATCCCTCCTGGTGGGCTCAGCGAGGATTCCTTTACGTCGCGATCGTAGTTTTTATTTATAACTCTCACCAAATGTTTTTATAAATGAAAGTTTCGTAATCTGTTGTAGTAGTTTATATATCAATACTTCATCATATCATGAATAGATGTTTATTTCCGTTATAATTCTGATCACATGTTTAAATTCCGCTGTACATTAAATTATTTATAACTCTGATAATATGATTACAGTCCGTTGTTATACAATAACAATTATACTCTGATGTTGTACTAAAAGGGATGTATGAAATGGTTAAGAATGATGTAAGCTTTGTTCTCTCATTTGTGATCCTGATGGCAAAAATGTGGATTTTCAGGTTCTCCCCTGGGGTGTGCCCGACGGAACCGAGTAATTTAGTGTTCTCCCTTGAGTGCTTAGTGTCTAATGGAAGACAAGCACTCCTGTGAGGCATTAGATTAGGCGGTTCTGCCACAGGTGGTATCAGAGCATAAATGAGGAAATAAAGCTTTCAAATCCTTTTCTAAGCTAAAATTTGACAACCTGTTTTTGTAAAAAGTTAGGACGTTTACATGCGAAGTTATATAAGTAGCCCTATTACTATGGTTATGTATCTAGGATAGATGGCACTCTGCTGACTTAGATAGGCTTAATCAAGTTTTCTGTAGGTACACTGACTCGAGCATAGTTCGATAGTATCGACTAGCTAAAGGGAGAGAATGTTGTGCCAAAAATATGAGAACGGTTGCCCTATATGCTGGCAACAATGGAAGGACGTATAGGACGTGCATTCATGCATATCCTGTTTGTGCATTGTAGCGCTCGTATTGCTTGTAGATACACCCTCCATAGGTGTCACGATTGACTCGTTCCTGTTCCATAGTTAGGTCTGCACTGTGGCTTTGTGTTCCGTGTTCACCCGTGGTTTCACGCCTGTCGTGACCCATGTCTCCCCGTACCCCTTTTATGTGCTCTTGTCGGACCCTTGCCCTGCAGTCGTACTAGTCAGTAATGGCCTCGAACGTCGCTCGCCTCGAACACGCGGAATTTGGTCGATTCGTCGTAGTGATCTCGCGCGGGAACCCTGGTGAACCACGCTAGGACCACTGAGCGCTCCACCTTTATAAGCAGAGCCTGACTTAGCTATTGGTTTCACCACTCGACGCACTTTAGCTCGCTTAGCTTTTCCTTTGAGCTAGCCTTTCTTTTCGCTCAGCCTTCCTTGCAGCCACCGCCAGAGATGGCAGGAGCCTGGGTTAGTACCTACTGCATGAACGTTGAGGGTTTTCCCAGAATCCTACATGCCACCTTGCAAAAGCTTGGAGTCAAAGATCGCCCCGAGTATGAGGGCCGTGAGTATGAGGAGCATGGCACCGAGCGGTGTGAGGTTACCGTCTACATCGGGAAGAGTGAGGAGTTCCCCGACCTCACTGAAGCCTGGAGTGTGACCGCAACCGGG